CGGGAGAGGTGGGTGGGCCTGGGCGCCACCGCCGGGAAACCCCGCGCCGCGCTAGCCTGGGGATTGCCTCGCCTGGGTCTCTGGACTCCGCAGGGTTGGCGTGGACTGCCTGAGCTGCAGGCACAGACACCAGCTTGACCCGGTTCAGGGCGTTCAAAAGCAATTACATTCAAGAGGCCTGAGTGGATTTGGGGGAGGGGTGCGGACTGCCTGAATTTTGTTTTTCCATCATTTATTAAACCAACTGTGTGTATACCGCTCACAAAGAGGGTTGAGATAAAGCACTAAGATTTCAAAACCCAGCCGCTGCTGCTTCATCAGTTGACAAGTTAGCAGGTCCGGAGGCTTCCTCCTGACTTCCCTCTCCCCAAATAGTTAGGGTTGGTGTCCTTGAACCCATATCCTTCCCCCACCTATTACCTGAGGGCTGGGGGTGAACCTGGAAATTATTTTCCGGATGATCAAGGAGGTGGGAGAAAGCGGTAGGAGGAAAAACACCCAGCGACGTTGAGTAGATGGCATTGAATGGGAATATTTTCCAAAAGGCTTGTGTGTGCCCAAGCTTGGTCCAAACTCACAAACCTGTTAGACTGAATTCAGTCTTTTAAGTGGATTCAAAGGACTGAACTGTGGGGTTTTTTTCTCTTTCTCTTGCTTACATAGAAATATAAGTGTTTTTTTTTTTTTTGTCTAGTCTATCTTAAAATTGTGCACAACTCTTTGTTTAGAATATCGCATTTTCCTAAAAGGAAAAACTCTTTTCCTGTTGCTCCTACTAAATGATGGGGTGTGTGCCTTTTATGCCTGGCCGAATAAACTCAGTAGGCACTCAGTAACTATGGAATCAGTGAGGGTCAAGGAGGGAATGGGTTCAATTAAATAGTTGCTTTTTTCCTTTTATTTATGTAGCATGTGCAGTTTGCTAGGCTTCCTTCTACCTGCTTTGCAAATACTAAGTTATTTAGTATTCAGCCCTAGGAAGCAAAAATTCTTCCTGAGACAGAGAGGCTAAGTAACTTGTTCAGGGTCACCCAGCCAGTGAATGGTAGAGTCCGAATTCAAACCCAGGCACTCTGGTCTAAGGCTTTGGTTTGTTGACTTTTACCAGAAAACATTCTTAAGCCACTAAATCTGATCCTAGCCCTTTGTACGTTTGAGAGCAGATAGTTGTATCAGAATGAGCATATGCTTCTAAGGGGGTTAAGAGTTAATCCAGGGACTGGCAGGCCGGATGGTGGTTAAAGACACTAGATTCCCACATGATCAGCCACAGTTTGAGTCCTGGACCTGGAGGCTCCCCCTCCCCTTTTGTCTCTGGTCAAATTAAAAAAATAATAACAAATAGAATTAAATAAATCTTAAAAAAAAAAAAAAAAGAGTTAATCCAAAATCCAGCTCTGTCCCCAACAAGTCAGCCAGTGCTAGGGAAGGATCCACTCTGGGGTCCTTTTTGTGAGACCCTGACATGGTTACAGAGAACTGGGGGAAGGCGTGTACATGTGAGTGTGAGTGTGCATGAGAGAGAGAGAGAGATGATGTGTGTGCGAGTGTTCATGGGTGAGGAGGAGACAGATGAGATATAGTCTCTACCCCAGGGGAGATCAAGCGCCTCCATGTCACCCGCCAGCTGCAGCTCCCCCCAAAAGAGAGAAGTGAGTATGGCTCTGAAGGATGGGTCCCAGTCCAGTGGCAGTGACAGGTGGAGAAGGCAAGGTCTAGCTGGGTTCCTCCAGGAGAGTGAGTTCTGAAGAGGGAGCTGGCTTTGCTGTTGCCCTTGTTACTAAAGCAGTTTAGCAGTGCTGGGCAAAGGCTGGGAACCGACGGGGGATTCTTCACAGCCTCACTCTCCCAGTTCAGCTGCTACTACCATTTTAAAATTGATCCCTAAAGGTCCTTCTCTCAGTGCAGGCTTGGGCATGGCTGTGGGCATTGCGTACCTCTCTCACCTACTGTGTCACAGCCCAAGTGTGTCCTGAGTTATTCTGGAGCCTGCAGGGAGAGATTGTCACTGTCTGCAGGTTGCCCGTGAGTGGACGTTACTTGGCGGGCATTGCCAAGTTGTTTCTTCAATTAAATAGTACGGTGCCAGGTTTTCGAGGGCAGCATTGGCAGGATGGATGAGGAGGGCAAAGAGTGAGCCCAGGGTAGGGCCATGGGCCACTGCAGGTATGAGGACAACTCGCCTGGCCACAGATAGGAACAACGAAGGGGTTGGAGGAGCCAAAGGCCAGGCCAAGCAATTGGGATTCGATATGCCCAGCCATGAGGAGAGGCATGACTTGGCTCGGTCCAATTCCCAGGGAATGGATAGATCATGGAAAAGCAGGACGCCAACCCAGGCTGGGTCAGTGAGGGTGAGCTCAGGTGGGAGGTCCGTTCTCACCCTCCACCATTGGACTCCACAGAGCACAGCAGTGGCCAGCCAAGTTCAGCCATGCAGAAGGAGCTGGGGTCAGGACCCCCTTGGCCCCTCTCCAAGGGCACGTGATTCTTGCCAAGTCCGTGGGCCTGAGCTCTGGCCCTCGCGTGTCCTAGAAGAAGGTTAGTCTCAGGACTGATCCTTTCTATAGCTGTTGGAGTGGAAAAACGGTTAGCCTCGGAGTCAGCAAACTGGATTTGGGTCCCAGCTCTGCCCGCAGTCGGCTGTGGGACTTCAGGTAGGTCATCCTCTTCTCTGAGCCAGGTCTCTCTCTATAAACGGGGCGGGGTCCCTGTTCCCTCGCACATCTCTGTGAAAGGGGGCCTGACTTCACAGTGGAAATGTGTATGTAGGGGGGTGGGGGGATGCAGCAGGTTTTAGATATGATCCCCAGCTCTGCCCCTTCCCAGCTGAGGGACCTTGGCACATGGTGCTTGAACTTCAGCGTGCCAAGCTGTGAAGTGAGGGCAATACCTAACGTGGAAGGTTGTGGTAAAGACAGTTAATTTACGGATTAATACCCGGAAGGTGCCTGAAATGGCACCTGGCAGAGACTTAGCTTTCAGGAGACATTGCAAAGACTGCTCTTCAGAGGGAAAAGCAATGTGAGAAAGCAACTAGCAGCCCTCAGACATTCGGGTAGGCCATTTTTGCAACTTTCACCTTCCGCGGCACTGGGCCTCCTAATCCATTGCATACAGTAGGTGCTCAACAAATGCTCGTTGACTGGGCAGGTGGTTTGGTGTCACCTGTTCAATTTAGCAGTGTACAGTAGGTGAGAACCCAGTGCCGTTCCCACAGGAAGCAGGTGTCATGTCCAGACAGAGAAGGCTGAGAGATGCCCTAACCACTCTAGCAGAAAAGCCATCTCCAATGCAGAAAAGACTAGAACACCCTTTGAGCCCATGTGATTATCTGAGAAAGGAAGGAAGAAAGGAAAGAAAGCAGCAAGCAGTCAGTGTAGCACCTTAGTGATGTGGAGCATCCTTGGAGGCTGGAGCGTCCCCGATGAAACTCCAGCCCCTTTGCTGGGTCTGGATGAGGTGCGGTTGTGGCAGGTAGTCGGGGCCTTTGTTGAGTCCTCCTCATTGAAAAGCGAGGATGACAGCTTCCAGCTCTGACTCTGTGCTAACTGACCCTGGTATCCACAAAGGGAGAGTGAGCCCATTTGAGGAGTAAAGCCAGGCTGAGACTTTAGGAGCAGTTTTATGGTCAAAGAATGGATTTGTTAATTACAAATGATTCCTGTCTACTTAGATTCTTGGAAGCCCCTTTCAGCAGATCCCTTGGGTTATTTCACCAAGTCCTTTTTATTTTTTTTAGTTTGCTGTAGGGCACGTGTCCTCACTGGAGAGAGACAGAGAAGGAGAAAAGGAGAGAGCGAGAGAAAGTGAGAAATCACCTCCTGGGGGGATGGCTATGCCACAATCCCTTCTCCTCCACTCACCTCTTAGGATTTTGGGCACACACACACACACACACACATGCACACACGTGTCTGTTGTGCTTGTCAAGTTGCCAAGTCCAGGACTTAAACCACTCAGTTGGCCATGTAGAATCCAGCTGCCTTCACCTCTACACTGCCGTGGCCCCCCACTGAGTCTTTGTTAAATGCTCATCTTCGGGCTTGTTGCTCTCAACCAGCTGTCCCTCACCCCACCCAATGTGACCATCCAAGACCCAGTGTGGCATTTTCTTGTGTGGATGGGAACAGCAAATGAGG